TACTCACCACAATGAACCAATATTTACATATACATATATATATATATGGTGTTCTGAGATGTATGTTACTCACCACAATGAACCAATATTTACATATACATATATATATATATGGTGTTCTGAGATGTATGTTACTCACCACAATTAACCAATATTTACATATACATATATATATATATGGTGTTCTGAGATGTATGTTACTCACCATAATGAACCAATATTTACATATACGTATATATATGGTGTTTTTTTCACACAAGTATTCCAATAGACTTCATGTATTTCCGACAAATTTTAAACTAACACTGATGACAAATAAATGTTTTATATGAAAACAAAAAATAGTTTAAAAACATTAGATTATCTCTTCTGGCACTTTTATCATTGATGGAATGCCACACTTCAACATTAACTCTGGCCTAAAAAAATTATCAAGTTTTATTTAAAGTCGTGAATTTGTTTCACGAGTACAATATTTGAAAGTATTCTATGATGGAAAAATACTTCGAGAAGCAAAAATTAATCAAACATATTTCAATTTTCAGAAATTGATGAAAGGAATATCCGAAATTTACGTAGTTCTTTTTTTATAATAATGAATATAAAATAATTTATTATACCGTGTTCCTCATCAGGGCCCATCTGCCCACCAATCTGGGATAACTTCTATTGTTGGCCAGCGACGTCTGGTGGTCAGATTGTCTCTAGGAATTGTTCTCAAATCTTCGATCAAAATGAAGTTCCAATTGATACCAAATCGATGGGGAAAGGTAAACCAATCTTTTCTGCTTTTTATTTAAAAATCAATATATCATTTATGATATACTGTCTAGCTTCTCTCTATATGATGTACTGTCTAGCCTCTATATATGATGTACTGTCTAGCCTCTCTATATATGATGTACTGTCTAGCCGTTGTGTTTCTCGTCAGATTCCTAGACTGACAAACGTAATATACCTTATAAATTCCGGAGTAACAATATTTTAAACAATTAGTAAGAAACCAATTGCACTAGAATAAAACATTAGCTCTGCTGGAGTTTTTCTTACTTGACGCAGTAACTGCAGACATTCGGTGTAGTTGGTCCAGTTCCCCCACAGCCAATCCCCACTTTCGTTACAAATCCTATAGGCATGGGCTGAAAATGAAAATTGCATGAACTCCACAATAATGTAATCCCACTAGAGAACATAAAACTTAACTATCAGGATGTACAAACTTTAAGAAAACGTTCTCTTTTTTTTAAACGAGATTTTGAAGAAAAGACATTATGTAGTTTTAGTAGAATAAAGACTAGTAATAAAACAGAAGGAAAACCTCATCAAGAACGTACGCTATGAACATAATACGATATTAGTCTATGTATTTCCCATCAGATTCCCGAATATAACGTTTGTTTTTTGTTACACGACAGGATTATGTTAAAACCAATGATTCACAATTATCGATATGTATTCTAGAGCGACAGTACGAGATTTCTAAGCTACTTCAGTTTCTACTTTAATCTTAAAAAAAATATGATGAAACCCTAACGAAAATAAATGTGTTCTTTCTGAACTTTGATCAGTTACTTTGGCGCCAATATGAGATGTGTATAACAAGGAATAAGAATAAAGTTGTTTCTGTTGATATTACTTAATGAGTAATTTGATAGTTTATTTACAATATCTTTTAGCTTTAGCCTTTATCAGAGTCTTTTTGAATAAATCTCAGAATCAGAATAAATAATTCATTTTTGTGTCGTTCTTTTAGGCAAATAAAAAGATCCGGTTTGTTTGTTTTTAATTAAGCAGAAAGCTACACGATGGGCTATCTGTGCTCTGCCCACCACGGGTATCGAAACCCGATTTCTAGCGTTGTAAGTCCGCAGACATACCGCTGTGCCACTGGGGGGCTTGTACGTTAGTTTTGTACATTAATTTTGTATTTTAGTTTTGTACATTTGTTTTGTACATTAGTTTTGTACATTCGTTTGTACATTTATTTTGTACATTAGTTTTGTATTTTAATTTTGTACATGAGTTTTGTATTTCAGTTTTGTACATTTGTTTTGTATTTTAGTTTTGTACATTAGTTTTGTGCATTAATTTTGTATTTTAGTTTTGTACATTTGTTTTGTACATTAATTTTGTATTTTAGTTTTGTACATTTGTTTTGTACATTAGTTTTGTATTTTAGTTTTGTACATTAGTTTTGTGCATTAATTTTGTATTTTAGTTTTGTACATTTGTTTTGTACATTAATTTTGTATTTTAGTTTTGTACATTTGTTTTGTACATTAATTTTGTATTTTAGTTTTGTACATTTGTTTGTACATTAATTTTGTATTTTAGTTTTGTACATTTGTTTTGTATATTAGTTTTGATAGTTTGGACAATTTATTTACATCTTTTCAGTTTTAAGAATATCCGAAAAAGCCATTTATACTTTAATACAAATCGCACTATTTAACCCTATTCAAATCGAACTATTTAACCCTATTCAAAGCGCGCATGTCACAGTTTTCTACAGTGTTACATTAAACAACCTTATTATCAATGTATGCTAGTAAGCACATTTTGTCGACAAACAAAATTCAGTCACTCCCTCCTCCTCCTCCCCAAACACAGATCCTTCTTGTAGTTAAAGTTTATCTCTCAAGATAAAAAAATATATAGAGAGGCTAGGCAGTACATCATATATAGAGAGGCTAGACAGTACATCATATATATAGAGATAACAATAATTAAAGCATGGCATTGTTACACTTTACAATAATATTATGTCTTATTGTTGATAATTGTTTTAAGTGTTTCTCGTCAGATTCCTAGACTGACAAACATAATATACCTTATAAGTTCCGGAAGAC